CACATTCTAGTTTCTATTATAAATTAGCGAATTGTAATGATGGTAATGTGGGAATCACGTTTAGTACTAATAAACTTAAAGCTGTCCAGATAGTCAAAGTTAAAAGCGAGATATAATCGCACCGTATAAAACAAAGTCCCGTCCGTCCGTCCCGCGATAACCTCAAACTATTGAACGGATTTTCGTGCCGCTTTCACCAATAAACGAATATCATGAGCAAGGTTCAATGATCACGATAATATGCGTACTGAATTATAATAGAGTTGAGCCGAGATAGCTAATTGTCCGGGCACTAGCTTTTAATTCAATATACTCACTCGAGCAGCCCAATTTCAATCTCCGGCACCAGGGAAATTTTTAATGTCGATTTATCACGTGCTCACGGGTGAAGGAATAAAAGTGAGGATGCTATTTTCGAAATAATACCATATGTGAAGCCCGCCATTCCACCAGTACAGTATAATACAACAGTGAAATGATTGCTAAATGCGACGCATCTAACGAACGGTTGCCGAGTGAGTGGAATCGCTTAATGCGCCGATGACGCAGACTGAGCTATTGAGATAGTGTCCCTAATCATGAACGATTTTAAATTATATTCCACAAGCGCTAACGACCGCTATTCGATAAAATTTCATCGATCTAAGACACATACAATATGTGTTGAAAAAAGTAAAATTAAAATTAATTATGTTTGTTTGTGGTATAGTGAACGGGGTCTACTATTTTAAACGATTGACAAGACTACTGCAACACATTTGATATTAAACATTTCCATGGACGGGGATAAACGCTTAACATCAGGTGAACCGCTTGCTCGCTTGCCAACATTTCAGATTTAAAAAATACACATTACATTCTATGTATGACCGAGGCCAATTCTTTAAAGTTTGGCAAAGTGTCTCCAATACCACAGGTGGCCTTTTGGACTTACCATCATAAAAATCTGCTCGTTCAACATTCTCGCTTCAAAAAATATCGCTAGCGGGAGGATGGTGGTCCGTAGAAAGTCTAGACTATTGATTGGTCACTTGTATAAGTCGCAACAGTGGGATGTATTAGGAGAGTTGGACTTAGAAGCGTTACAAAGTCGAAGACTGAAATCGGAAAAGACTAGTTGCGCATTTAAGGCTTCTACGGTCTCATGTCTTAGTGTTCGTACATTGTGTGCGGAATGTGGATCAATTGATGAACGAAGGTGAACAATTTTACCCATAAATTTTCAAATTGTCTGTGGTTTTATATTTGATAATTTTTCTTTTTTTTTTTTTTTGTGAAAAACGTCGGCAAGCGAGCAGGCGGTTTACCTTTACCTGATGTTAGTTAAAAGACAACCGCCGCCCATTTATTTTTTTTAAACACTGCCCTTACTGTATGATAACATTATCTTGTGTTGCGAACATTTTGCAGACATAAATTTCAACCAGAACCGAAAGTATTATTCCTGGGTCACACAAAACGATATCGAACGCACGACCCCGGTGCCGCAGACAATACATTGGCAACTATTCCACGGAGTCATCTGGACGTCTACAACACCCGGTGGGTTGCAGATGCTTTGCTAACTTATTTAAATGTGGGCCGCGCGAGTCCTCACTCATGAAAGTACACTTCCGCTTCATGCCAGTCTGTAAGGACTTGGCACTCCCCGGATGAGCCTGCCAATTCGTGCAACAGCAGAGGTTGGTTTTACCCCAGATAAAGCAAGTAGATTATAAAGTTGTAGGTATGTGTTTTGACACCAAGGCTTTCGTTTCAAAGGTATAGTTACGTAGTCATTTGCCAGATAGTATAATTTTTTGTAAAAGAACATTTTTATATTTAAGCTTTGTTTTATTTTCATTACCTTTTGAAGTTATTAATGAACATATGTGCCAATTGATATGTACATATTAACCTCAAAGTAACGAATCTTCTCCGATTAATGTGTATTTCAAAAGATTACCGAGCATTTTAATGTAAAACAAAACGATGAAAGAATTTTGAAAATGCGAATATAACTAATACGCAAACATTCGTACATCGAATATAGGAAACGGAATCAATGCCGGCGGAAGCGTTTTTTTTTCAACCGGTTCCATCGATTACGACCAGCATTCAGAAAAATAGAAATAGGAACTCAAACGCGTAACTGTTATTCAACTTCCGCTCGATGTGAACATTCATCCTGACAATTAAAATTTTCTCGTCGTTTTTACGGTTCAAGTTGCAACAGTGTGAGACTTGGTTAATTAGATGAGAAAATGAATACGATATAATCTATCATAAACAATAACCAAATGAAGTTTTAAAATAACAAAAAACTCCTTTGTTACCACTTAAAAACTCAATTTATTTTTAAATTTAATATATATATTTCATACATTATATAGGTATATTGTATAACAAAAGATTAAAGCTGGCAACTATACCAATATAATTCTAAAGTCTCAAATGAGTAAAAAGTAGAAAAATACCGTTAGCACCTCCAATTCGGTTTAAATAAATTAACCTTAATAAAATTACAACATTCAGTTAAAAAAAAAGGTAAAGTAACAGCCTATACATGTCCCACTGTTGGACAAAGGCCTCCTCTATACAGAGGGTATCAGGGCATAGTCCACCACGCGGCCCCACTGCGGATTGGCGGACTTCACATATCTTCGAAATATTTTTTTTGTTATTATTTCGAAAATATGCAGGTTTCCTCACGATGTTTTCCTTCACCGCGGAGAACGTGATAAGTCAGCACTTAAAGTTAAAAACTTCATTGGTGCCGGCACCGGGGATCGAACTCAGGTTGCTCGAGTATATTGAATTAAAGGCGAGCGCCCGGCCACTGAGCTATCATGGCTCTCATTATTATCTAGATGAAATTCCTCACTGTTCATTTAGTGCATTAAATTGGTATTTATTTAATCATTATTTAGGAATACATATATAAGAAGTATTTCTCTTACTACTTTTGTGTGCCGTCCGACGACCGAGATTACTTATCTTTCTCCGCTCCATCTTTGGCGTTATGTCGGTTTGGTGGCGTAACCGGCATAGCTCAGAATATTAGTAAGCTGAAGTGGCAAAGGGCTGGCCTTAAAGCTCGAAGAACCATTAACAGATGGGGAAGAAAGGTTCTCGAGTGGCAGCCTCGTACTGGCCATCGCAGTGTAGTGCGATTCCACACTAAATATCGACCTGTGCAAATGTGCGGTAAGTAGATAGATGCTGGTGGCTCAGGATCGTGCATCATGGCAGACTATGGGAGAAGCCTATGTAAAAAGTGTACTTAGAAAAGGCTGCAAATGGAAGAACGAATAAACAAATCAACGAAATCGCTTGCCCGTTTCCCAGCTTGAAACTGCACGCGTGTTAACTGTCAGATACAAAAAAAATATCAAACTTAAAGATAGACGACGAACCGAATAACCATACAACCAACTTCCCTAGTAGATATCACGCCACCAGCATATCACTGGATTCCGACAAACGCAAGAGTCGTTCCGTCATCCGGCGATACACACAGGACATAGCTATCGAAGCGACATTTTGTTTAAAAATGGTTCAGATTTCCCTTTTATTCAACGCGCTTTTATTATCTAAAAATGTATGTGACTATACACGAATACAATGAATTTACCGGATTTCTTTGGATCAAAAATAAATTCAAATTATGAAACGATGACTTGCAATTATTACGTATTAATTAAATATAAAACTGAACCGTGAGAACGGATGTTTTAGATCTGTAATTCGGTTAAAATTATCAATATTTATAACTACTTGGTACTTTCAACAGGTAACCATTCTTGATAATTGAGGTTCATTTTATAGCTCATTGTGATATTAAATAATATATAGCATTATTTTAATGATCCAAATAAATGTTTGGCGTTTAAGTAATTTTGCATTTCAAGTGACGATCTACTGAGTCTGAATTATCATTCATTTACTTTTTGCATCTACATGGGTGTAAATAGGCAAATGATATTTAAAAGTATTCAAAGACAGTCTAGTAAAGATATGACCATACGTCGATGATAAATGATGAGGTATTAGGTAGAAAACGCACTAGCTGCACAATAAACGCTTATGCACTTTTAGAGTTCATCGAAACTAATGTATAAAAGACCGAAACACGTAGACATGTAAAGACCCATTATCCTCGTGGCCTGGTAGCTTGAAAGTCGACGTGTGACTTGAGGTCATAGGTTGTTTTTTTAGGGTTCCGTACCCAAAGGGTAAAACGGGACCCTATCACTAAGACTCCGCTGTTTGTCTCTCTTTCCGTCTGTCACCTATCACGGTTCATGAAATACAGGCTGTATTTCATGAACCGTGATAGTTAGACAGTTTAAATTTTCTCAGATGATGTATTTCTGTTGCCGCTGTAACAACAAATACTAAAAAAATAGAATATTTAAGTGAAGCTCCCAAACAACAGACATGATTTATTTTTTCATGATTGCCGTTTTTGTACGAAATTGTACAGAACCCTTAGTACGCGAGTCCGATTCGCACTTGGCCGGTTTTTATGAGTTTTAGTTTGTCGGGATGATAGTTCCAAGACATGTTCCCAACTCTATTATCTAATATTCTACACATCCAAACATTTATATTACTTGGCACAATGGAAGCTCAAGTTTAATAGAATTACTATTCTGGCACGTTCAGTTTATCTTAAATCAAACCTAGAACGTGCCTAAAGTTTGCTTTATAAACAATAGTAAATAGATTGATTGAAATATATTTCGTTTTAACCGATAGTAAAAACAAACATTTCAAAAAACTTGGCACTAACGATATAAATGCGAAATTTGAAAAGAAATAATTATTAGTATAAAGAGTGTTTCCTATTTTTGCAGCAAGTGCTACTTTATCCCGTAAAAATTAAATACTCCAAAAACACTCACGCCGCGTTCTCAATAGATGGAGCAACAAAACTCGTGGGCAAAGACCACATTTTGTCTCCAAGTTAAAATACCAACCGAACCACAGACGCGTATATGTGTTAAACGCCAAATTACCTGTCATGCTGTATTAGAGCTATGGAGCTGGCGACGAGGTCCTCAAACTGCTTCTCGCTGGCCGAGCTGCCCTGCCGCTTGTGGTGGTGCGGCGTGTTCGACGCTGAGGAGACAGGAGTGAGGGACTTCTGCGGATCAGCGATGGCCTTCGCCGCCAAGTTGTTGGTGGACTTGCTGCCGAAGAGGCGCCAGGTGACGCCGGCGGTGCCCGTGCTCTCTTGGCTCTTTGAGTTGCTCTTCCAAGGGAAAACGCCTCTGCAACAACGAAAAGGAACACTTGAGCAACGAGGTACGCCATGATTCGTGAGATCAGCACCTCGTCGACTACTGAATCAGTACCAGTCGACGACCATCAAAGCTACAGAGATAGAGTACACGACGCGGAGGCAACACTCCAACACTATATTTTATCAAGTTCGCGGAAAAGTACCCACTTCGTCCTTTTCTTTGTCCGATAGACTTACAAATAATCCAATGAAGATGAAGCATTAAGCACTATAAGTTTGAACACTTGACCATTTATTTTTTACTTTCCTTTGTTAACTGTCTCTTTATATGATTTACTTCCATCTAATGTTGCTCGCCTTGTGAATGTTAAGTGTCTACTAACTCTTGTTTATACTCCATTTATTAAAACTCTAGTAAAATTTATAGAGATTAACAAAATATGTCTTTAAGTTGTTGTTGTCAAGTTAAAAAAAAAATTATGTTCTGTATAATAAAATTTTTCCATTATTAATTTGCATGTTACTAACGTTGTGTTGTTCCTTTGTTTACAGGTACGCAAATGAAATAATTTTAAACAAAATAGGTATTATACATTGTCATTGTCCTACACCTTATCAAGTTGATCTCAAAGTACTTAGTTATTGGCAAAATCACTGACGTATCAGTGGAGCCATAGTAGGAAAAAAAAAAGTTTGAACTCTCACGGTAATGTCGAGTTTTACTTAAATGTAATTGTTTTGAAAATTAATTGTTTACTTAAATGCTCGTTTCATATAAGTAAACTGTAAACTGAAATAAGATAAAGAGAGGCGATGGAATACGAAGTATGGTAAATAGTAATGGTCCCCTTCGGGACAATTACTATTTCGTAATATTTCGTTGTTACACCATTACACCATCACCATTACTTCGTATTCACCATTTTTTATTGAATTACTTACATAATATGATATAGTTCTCACAATCTAGTAAACATTCAGATAGATTGAACAAATTAGTTCGGCGGATGTTGTCGTATGGTCACTAATTGATATGTATGTATTTATAAGATATATATGTATATATATAATATATTATGTATATGTTTACATTTTTGTATTGTATATGGTTTGTTTTATAAACCGTTTTTATATAATATTCTGGAACTTATATGATGCGTAATGGTAAATTATTTATTTAAGTCACATAAATTCATATTGCGATTTTATTTATTGCACCTACCCCGATATCTCCTCACGCCCCGGGTTGATTGGTAGAGAATGCCAACAGGCATTAAGTCCGCCCCTTGTAACCCTTTTTGAGGTGTTTTCAATAAAGAATAAATAAATAAAATAAATAAATACATATTTGTGAGTACAACAACATAAATTTTTCGTATGTTTAAAGTTAAAATTATATACATAAAATATAATCGACAAAAACTTAAAAAACATCCATTTAATTTAGAAATTGATATAGAATCATTTAAAATAACAAGTTTTAGCTCGTTGTCACAGACGCATACCACTCGGATAGATTAATTAGATCCAGTTTTAGTGCTAATTAATTTCATAAAATAAGACTGAACTTAGCAAATGAACGATATTAATACAAATCAGGATAAAACTGAATTCAGAGTGCGCACGATAACAATTAAAAGCGAATAACACTCACAGTGGTCTGATCGGTAAATAATTTATTTTCTGCGTCGTAGATGAGTCCCGAGTCGAACATAATATATACATATTTGTCTAGCAGGTCTTTCATATCATTAAGCACTATGTACTATCTCGTATGTCTAAATTCTACAGATATTGCGAGCACGACCCCAAAGCGTGTTTTGTAAACACAGATGGCCTTTACGGAATCCAACGTCTCGACTATTAATACGCGCCACGGGCGCGAATAGCCTATTGGCGAATACAGACGTATACTACACGAATTGTATTCGTTTCATCGGCTCTGTGAATATTTGCTTTGACTAGTGGTCGCCCAGTGGTCGAAAGTCGACCATAATTATATAGTAGTGTGTGTAATGTCTTTTATTGATTTAATTTTTAATTTTTTTAAAAATTCTGCACTCCTTCGTTATATAAAAAAGTGTGAGGTATCATACTCCACCGTCCGCGCAATTTTCGTAAAAAATGTTTAGTAAAATTATAATACGGATAACGAACACAGCCGGCGTTTTCCCCGTATTTTGGGCGGAAATTAATAATCTCTAAGACGACGACGGTAACGATAGAAATTATAGGAAACGTTGGGAGAGAACAGCAAAAATAAAACTCAATAAAACCCTTTATAATAGTTATAACAAAATCTCAAATAAAGTTAACGTATGCATCCGGTTTTTTAAGAGTAAAGAGGCCCATTTACACGGTGCCAGTTTCTTGCCCGTTGTATACAATTAAATTGAAGCAATAAATAAGTTGCATGGTCTAAACAACAAATGGTCTAACCAATTATTGCGCGCAATTTATTGCATTCAATTATTGCTCTTGCATGTACAAGAAAATGGCATCGTGTTAATGGGCCTTAAGACCTCTTAAAAAACCGGATGCATACGTTTTTATATCGCTCGAAGGTATGTCGCTGGCCGATAATCTACAGCATTCAGTGTAATCAGTTCCTGGATGTATAAAGAAAAAATCTCCACCACGATATACATAAAGAGTATATGTATAAGTCCGATATGAAGAAGAAAAAGAGGAAACGTTTATATGTGCCAATGCTAGTAGCTAGCCGGCGTAGATGGCGATGAATCCTATCACAGTAAAGAACCATCGTCGCATCGCAACAATGACGGCTACATGTATACGATCTCAATCGGTCAAATCCGATTATTATTTAACAACACACTTACAGACGCGCCATTGACTGTTACAACATTAATACGAAGTAATAAAAACGAACTAAGAACTAAATGTTATTTTCTTCGAACATTATAGTGCATAAGAACACGCCAGATGGTGACATGATGAGCCATCATCGTCACCTGAATTCCAAACATAACACTATATCAGGTTACGACGTTTGACGACGTTTTAATTGACGTAACGATCGCAGAAATAATGCTGAATAGAATGAGATTTATGAAACAGTGGTGTATACAGCGTGTCGTTACAATCACAATAAATGAACACGCATACATATAGAGGATAACGTATCCAACTGTAACGTAAAGTTCAATTGTAAAGGTCACAAAGCATATGAATGGGTTGAATTTAAAAGAGATAAAACATTTTGTTTCTTTTTTAATTAGTTTGATAAATATTGCTTTTTTTAGTTATGGATTTTTTAACGTTCATATATTTTAATGATTATTGGCAAGTAGCGTTAGACGTGTGTTCATTTATTGTCGCGGTTATAACGACACGCTGTATATTACTTTTACATATAGAAAAAAACGGCTTTTAAACTCCATTCCCGTTGATATGCAAATAGTTGCCAACATGTTTTTTTTAATGTGAAAGTTACCAAGCGAGCTGACGGTTCACCTGATGTTAAGTGAATACCGCTGCCCATGGACATCTGCTACACCTGAGGGTTGCAAATGCGTTGGCAACCTTTTGAAAATTGGGCTCCAGACGACACGCGAAAGTATTATACTCCCACTTTACGCCGGCCTTCAGTGAGGTCGTGGTACTTACCCGGACGAGCCTGCCCATTCGTGCAACAGCCGAGGCTGCTAAGTTGCCCTACCACCGTAAGCGTATTATAAATAGGTATATTAACACCCAGACACTGAAACACTATGAACACTATGTTCATCACACAATATTTTCCCAGTGGGGATCGAACCTAGAGGCCAGAGGGTCTGCTCTGGCGCAAGAGACAGGGTCACTGGTTAGTGGCGTAGTGGTTACTACGCCAATAGGTTCGTCCAAATATATTTTAGTACAACTAAATTCGAAATTAATTTTTAATAATTTTAGCTATAAAACTATGAATAAATATTACTAGCTTACAAAAATAAGTATACTGTTACAAATATGAATATGTTTTCATGTGAAACGTTGCTGAGCAGAGACGAGCAGGGGGTACACCGCATGTAAAGTGATTACCACCGCCTATGGACATCTACAACTGCGGGTTTGCAAATGCATTGCCAACTTTTAAGAAAGTGGACTCCGGCTACCACACTCACCGGGCAATACGCGAAAGTACAGTACTTTCACTTCACTCCGGTCTTCTGTAAAGCCGTGGTACTACCCCGGATGAGCCTGCCCAAAGATTGTAGCAAAGAATGCTGCATGATCGTGTTTTAGAATCGTTTTATCGCTGTTTTCAGGGAATGAAAAATATCATTCGAATATGACGGTAAATTTCGCCGAGAAAAAAAAAAGTTATAATAGCTCGGTCGGTAATCGGTCGGCCCCGAAACAGAAGGCCGCGGTTCGTGTCACGATCATACACACTTATTTTTTTTACTTTTTTTTTAAAAATACCGAACAAAGCTCGGTCATCCAGGTACTTATTATTTATATTACTTACGTAACGTACATAAGGACATTTTTTCAGACACAAGCGTTGCGTGGAACAATACCCCAATCGGTACGAATTATCTGTTGAATACATAAATACTCTTCCCGCTTGGAAATCGAACCTGCGACGCGAAGCGCCGACAAAATTTAGCAATTGCGCCAGCAGAGAATATACATTGAAATTTCATTCTTTTCATTATTACTTTCATATGGCAAAAGGCGTAAGAAGCATCAGGATGCGTCAAAAAATATGTACGCTCCGATTGAAAATCTAAGAATGACCCGTATAGCTTATTGTATAAAACAGATTATGGATATAATATAAATCGAAATGTCTAAGGCTTCAACTTTCATGTTCATAGGATAAAATGATTTACGTCCTATCGTCAACTCTACTGATTATTGTATTTTTACTACAATCGACGCAAACGATCTTACTGCATAAGACAACATTCAAGCCACTTTAATTTACAACGGCAATTAAGATTCACGGGACAATATTAATTCTATTGTCTAACAACAAAGAATGCAATTATACCGAAGCGGACGTTGTATAATTTTTTTAATAACGCGACACTCGCCAAAGGAATTTGTGACTCTGTGACCTAATAAGTGTTACATTCGCTTTGAATCACGCGGACGACACGAAGGACGTGTGTGTTTATTGTGTGACGCAGAGTGCTAACGTCTTCGATACAGATACGATCAATTCCCAGTGGATTTTTTTGCAGTCGTATTATTATGCGAACGCCATATTAAACTACTGGGAGACTAGAGTTATCCAAGAGGCCCCGCTTGGCGCCTGAATTTAAGATGAACTTCATCATCGGCAGTACACCTTTGGGCATAAGTCTTGAGAGGCACAATTAATAAAAAAAAGCACTATTCTTAAACATTTTTATCCCAAGGTTAGTCAGCAACGTGTATACCCTATATTCGAAAGTGTGTCCTGTGACTTTACAGACGCCTGGCTAACCTTTAAACTCCGGTTACCTTGCGAGTCAGGCGAAACGCAAAAGTATTCTCCACTTCATGTCGTCTTCTATGAGGCCATAGTAGTTCGAAAGATTAACCTGCCCACTCGTACAACAGTACTACATTGGGATGGGGTTTATTTTATCCAAACGTGGGTTTTTAAACGCGTATGAGATTTATAAGAAAAGTTAACGTTAGTGTGTGTCAATCTTTCAAAAAGTAAAGTAAAGCAACAGCCTTTATTTGTCCCACTGCTGGGCAAAGGCCTCCTCTGAACAAAGCGTATCAGGGCATATTCCACCAACCGACCCCACTGCGGATTGGCGGTCTTCACATATCGTCGAAATATCTTTTTTGTTACTATTTCGAAAATATGCAGGTTTCACGAGGTTTTCCTTCACCGCTGAGCACGTGATAAGTCAGCACTTATTTAAGGTAAGCTGAATGTGTACAGTGTTTTGCCGCGGGGAATAAACTAGTGTGTGATAATCACGTGCCAGTTGCAAACAAACTGGTACGTGATTATCACATATTCTATGACTAAAGTTATGAAAATGGCTCTCGGTACCCGACACCGGGTGGTACGGATGGATGCTGCTATGCAATAATGAATAGCTCCGTCTCTTCTATTGTTAAGGCAAAAGTTCTACAACACTACTCCTTTAAATAATTCTCTTTAGCATTGAACAACTATCCCCGAAATTTTGGCAACACGGTCGATTGACCTTTTTAGATAAGTTACGTGTCGTTGTTATGCAAAACATGCAGTAGATCTTACTTGTTCTTGTATTGTTTTAAAAAAAAAGATATTTGTATGCTTTAAATATAAATTTCTAATATATTAAACAAATATGTTTAACCCGCTTGTAGCAATATCTATATCACTACATAGTATGAAGCAAAGTCGCCCCGCTGTCTGTCTGTCCTTATGTATGCTTGGATCTTTAAAACTTCACAACGGATCTTGATGCGGTTTTTTTTACTAGATAGTGATTAAAGAGCAAGGTCTATTTGTATAATACATTGCGCCCGCGCGAAGCCGGGGCGGTTCGCTAGTAAAGAATAATAATCACTGCAGCAAAAGGTATTTTATTATGCCCTTGTTTTGTGGAGAGGTCGTCAACCAACAACCAGTATGCGACAAAAAAGTGTTTATATGATCAATACTCCGCTCACCGCTCCTCATAACACAAACACGATGGTCAAATTATAAATTCAAAACAAGACTCCCTAAATGAGAAACATTTATGGAGTTCTCCAGTTTGAATTTACGTCCTATTAAACTTACATTGTAAATTTTTTCTACCTAAAAAAAAGAAAATTAAGTAAGTATCCTAGACCCTAAGTTGGCATCCGTGTCTTTACAAACAAATTCGATCATGGCTTATTTATTTCTAACAATAGTAAAATTTAGTTATAATATAACAGAGCAGTCGTAGCATATAAATTTAAACCAGCTTCACTAGATTTTCCCATTAACCATTATTGTTCGTATATATATTTACTTATGTATTTATTTCTATATATTTACATATTTATGCACGTGCCTGTTTATACTTACATATCTTCTTATATTGTTCATTACTTTTTTTACATTTATTATATTTCATTTTTATGTTCATTTAGCACCTGCCATGTACTTTTCACCAAGACTGGTATAGAATTCCGTTAGGTATTAAGTCCGCCCATTGTAGCCCTTAGCTTAATGTGTAGCAATGAAGCTTAAATAAATAAATAATTGATTAATGGCATCCTGGGACCACTCTTTCGTCGAACGTATCCTGTGTGTTGCGATTCGCGCTTGTCGGCGTGAACATATGCACTCGTAACGCGTCAACCGTGCTCTCGAGAGGCTCGGTACCAGGCGGCGGCTGGTACGAGACGGGGCTAGAGCGATCGCTCGCCACCTGTTGGAGCGCACGTTCGACGTCGCGTTCGCGTAAACAAAGAGCGATAAGAAGAATTCTCAAGCAACGCAACTGCAATAGTTTGTGGCGATAACGAGTTTGATAGTTATACTAAACTTTATTTATTTGATGACTCCGTGGCGCAGTTGCCGAGGTATTCGGCTTCGGCGTCGGGGGTCGTGGGCTCGATTCAAACACGGGACAATTTATTATAATTTATTTGTGTGACCCCACAGATAGTTGTTTCGCGTCTGGGTGTTTGTCCGCGTGAAATTTATGTTTGTAAAGCGTCCTTACAACACAGGATAATGTTTTATTTAAAAAAAACTAAACATGTCGACGTCAGTTAAAAGTCGAACATCGTTAAAAACGTTCATTTGCGTAGTTCAATATAATAAAATTCATTTCGAATCACTAAAAAAAATCAAAAAAAATCACTTACAAAGTACTCAAAATAGTTAGGTGTATTTCACAATTTAAAAACTAAAGAGAATTTTAACTTTAAAAT